CATCTTGTGTCTCTCTGCCTAACTGAAAAATCTAGTTCATATGATTATCCGAGCAGTCTCGCCTCAGCAGGGCGAAATTGCAGTTAAAATGGTGATAAGTGTGGTTCTGATTAGTCTGGATATCTTGTGCGTGAGCAATTGTTTTATGTTGTGCCATTGATGAATTGGAAATGAATAAGATAGATAGGAATTGGCGGTGATGAATTGGAGATGTATAAGATAGAGAATACATGTTTGTAATCTGTTTTCAGTGATAAATGTTGGTCCACAATGATTGTTACTCTGTGATTGTGTTCGGTCTCAAGACTTATATTCACATTAATAGTTTTAATCACTCTCTTTCTGCTTGTTGTTCCACTGTCATAATTCAGTAATACGATGATGTTTATATCGTGGCGTACTCACTATGAAATGCACTCAGCTTCTGCATCAAATGATCTCCCTTTGCCCCTTCAAATTTGTAGTTTATCTTTTTTTGCACCAACTTACTTTTTCCCTCGTAGATTCAATATCAATAACAAGCATTTCATTGTGAGAAAATTAATTTCCATTAGTTACTCGATATACTTCTGTAAGAATAAATTAAAAATTTCCTCCGTTTTTTATTGTGACAGGTTTTTTTTTTCTAGTAATGCCATCAGCAATGAGCTAAACTCAATTCCTAGCTGACCTCTAACTGAGAACATTGCATGATGGCTAGAAAACGAAGCCAACAAAAGAATGGGTTGGATCAGCCGTCACAAAGCCATAATAAAGGAGTTGCAGATCCTGGCCCTTCACCTTTAACTAGCAAAGATAGAGGTAATGCGAATGAAGAAAATGTGGGTTTAGACAAAGAAATTCCAAATGGTACCCATTCTCCGCCTCCCACAAAGAGCATTAATGACATGGATCATGTTCAAGATGGTAAAACCAGTAAGAAAAAATCTAAAAAATCTCACAAGAAAGAGAAAAAAGTTGCGGATGAGACATTTACAGGCCATGCAATGCCATGTAATGATGATGCTGAGGTAGACAAGAGTGGTAAATCTGCAGCCGAAGCTTCGAATGTAAGAGATGAAAGTGAGTTGTCTAAAGATCATGGTTTAGAAACTATGAACAGTTCTGGCAATTTATCGCATAGAGATGAAGGCTCAGAAGATGTGGAGTTCCCAGAAACTATGGTTTTTAAATTCATAAGGACTGCAGCGGTTTCTGTAGCAAAGTTATCAGCCGAGTGGGTACAGAGGCATAAACCTACTGTTGCTAACCTAAAGTCCAATACTCTTAAGGCTTGTGATCATGTCCGAATGAAGATTCGGCATGCACAACCTATCGTATTCAGGTGGATTAAGCAAATTGGAAATATAATGCTTCTTCTGTTTATGGTTTGGTTGGAT